GGCGGCGGAAAGAGCGCCCCGGCCCTTCCTGGGGCAGCGTCGGGGAAGAGGAGGAGTGCCCCGAGCGAGCCGTTTGCGGAGGAGCCAGCTGGGCGCTTGCGGCTGCCTTGGCTGTGTCTGCGCAGAGTCGAGCTCTCCTCGCTGGTGTGCAGCTATTTATCGGTGTGGATCTGCAGCAGCGGCGTTTGCAGTGGACAGGGACAGTCTCGGGACTCTGATCGGGCAGCCTCCATCCCTGCGGGCTCCCGGCTTTGCTTTAGGTGCCCCGCAAAGCTCAGGCGGAGCGCGGGAGGTGGGAGACAGGGGATCGCTCACCCTCGTGCGCCAGGAGCGGAGGACGGCCAGCCGGGCCCAGCTCCCGGTGCGGTGCGCCTGGCTCATGTGAATTTAATTAAGTGCGCGCACTGGAGCGCAGGCAGAGCGGATGCAATTAGCAGCGCTGGGGTTGCAGGGAGTGGGGCTGCGCTTGCGGCCCGAGGTGGCGCCTCGGCGAGAGCAGCGGCGACCGGTCCCGGAGCAGAGCAGGAGCCTTTTGCTGGCCGGGTGCTGCAGGGACTCGCAGCTGGAGCCCAGCTCGCCCACAGGAGGAAAGAGGCAGGGACTTGCCCTGGGGTTGTGCGAGGCGAAGGCAGAGCTGGCAGCAAAGCCCCGGTCTCCTGCGTCCCAGCCTGGGCTCTGCCTGCTGAATCATGTTCCTCGGGCGGGGGAAGCAGGTCTTTCCAGAACGGGGAGAGCCGGTGTCCCGCGAGCACCCCTGCCCCAGCCGGCGAGGGCGCAGCCGCTCTGCCCTGGGGTCTGCTCCCTCGGGGCAGGGCGAGGGAGGCGGGGGGTGCCTGTGCCGCCCGGCCGTGGGAAGCCCCAGCTCCCCCGTCCCCTCCGGGGCCATCGCTGCCGCCCTTGGGGTGCGGCTGCGGCCGTGTCTCAGATTTAGCTGCTGGCTGAGAGGTGTTGACAAACCTGTAGGATCCAAACAAGCCTTTTCCTTCCCTTCCATCTTCAGTGTCTTTTTTTTTCCTTGCACCTCCTTAAACACTTTTTGAGTAAACCCGGCTTTCCATCCCCTCAGCAGCCCAGAAAGTGCCCCCGCGGCTGCCTGCCCCGGCCCCTCTCTGCCCACGCGTTGTCCCAGCCCTTGGGAGCCCGGCTGCAGGCTGCATCCTGCAGGTCCTCAGTCCCTACTGTGGTGCAGAGGAGGGGGTGGCAGAGGGTCAGGCCGGTGCCGGGAGCCTGGTGTGCCTCGGACGAGCCGGTGCAGCCCCCCAGCACTGAGCTGTGAGCCCCTGGCCACCATGGAGGCGGGAGGGCCCCCTCTCTCCTCTCCGAGGGTGTGCTGCGGGTGCAGAACCCAAGGGACCTGCTGGTTCCTGCTGGTCCTGCGTCTCCCCATCCCGGGTGAGCAGGGGGTCCCCGCGAGGTCTCAGCTTTGATGTGTCATTTTTTTTTCCCCTTCTCCTTGCTCCGCAGGCTGCAAAATCAAAGCCCTACGTGCCAAGACCAACACGTACATCAAGACACCGGTCAGGGGCGAGGAGCCTGTTTTCATCGTGACCGGGAGGAAGGAGGACGTGGAGATGGCGAAAAGGGAGATCCTCTCGGCCGCCGAGCACTTCTCCATGATCCGAGCAACGCGCAACAAAGTGAATGGGCTGACGGGAGCGATGCAGGGGCCCCCCAACCTGCCGGGACAGACGACCATCCAGGTGAGGGTCCCGTACCGTGTGGTGGGGCTGGTGGTGGGGCCCAAGGGTGCCACCATCAAGCGGATCCAGCAGCAGACGCACACCTACATCGTGACGCCCAGCCGGGACAAGGAGCCCGTCTTCGAGGTGACGGGCATGCCCGAGAACGTGGACCGGGCTCGGGAGGAGATCGAGGCGCACATCACCATGCGGACCGGCTCCTTCATCGACGTCAACGCTGACAACGACTTCCACTCCAACGGCACCGACGTCTGCCTCGACCTGCAGGGCAGCACGGCCAGCCTGTGGGCCAAGGCCCCCCACCCTGCCCGCCGCCCCTCGGCTGCCCTCCGCAACGACAGCCTCAGCTCCCTGGGCAGCGCCTCCACCGAGTCCTACTACAGCGGGCGGGTGGCGGACGCCAGCCCCACCAGTCCCTACAGCACCAGCAGCGGCTTCACCTTCAGCGAGCCCCCGGCCCCTCTGGGCTCGGAGGAGTGCGACTTCGGCTTCGATTTCTTGGCCCTCGACCTCACGACACCCACCACCATCTGGTCGCCCTTTGAGCGCTCAGGCAACCCCTTGCAAGCCTTCAGCAGCTGCTCCTCCATCAACGGCTCGCAGAGACGCAACAGCGGCACGGCCACGCCGCGCCACTCACCCACCCTCCCCGAGAGCGGCGGCATGGCCCTGGACCACCCCTTAGCGCGCCGCATCCAGAGCGACCCCGTCAGCACCTTGTCCTGGCTGCCCACCCAAGGCTCTCTGTCCTCCTTCTCCAACAGTACCGGCTACTCCTCCTCCTCCTCCCTGCCCGGCAGCATCTCCGCCACCTCGGGCTCGCCCACCGACTCCAGCAGCTCCGACGGGCACCGCAAGAGCTCCCGCGAGTGCATGGTGTGCTTCGAGAGCGAGGTGATCGCCGCCTTGGTGCCCTGCGGCCACAACCTCTTCTGCATGGAGTGCGCCATGCGCATCTGCGGCAAAGCCGAGCCCGAGTGTCCTGCTTGCCACACTCCTGCCACGCAAGCCATCCACATCTTCTCCTAGCCGGGTCTGGCTCGCCAGGGCGGCCAGCCCTCCCCTCCACCCCAACACAGCTTTTTAAGGACTTTAAACTGTTTAAATCAACCTTTTTATTTAATAACGGATCCGATGGGCGCACGGGGTGGGGGAGGGAAGGAGAGGCTGCTGCTCGCTGGCTGCAGAGGCGGAGAGGGCAGGACGGCGGGGCGGGAGGGTGGCCGAAATACAGGTTCACCCAGCGGCTGGGAGGAGGAAGCCCAGCTGTTCTTCACCAGTCCTTCCCAAATAACAGTATTCAGTTTGCAAAGTTAAATAAACAGAAAGAAAAGGTCCGGTTGCACTTTTTATTTTAGGACACGCAAGGGTTGTCTTTTATTTTTTTAAAATCATTCTATTATTATTATAATTTTTTTGTTGTCGTTCTTTTTGTATGTAGTTATTTTTTTGGATGATTCTTGATGGTTCTATAAATATATATATATTTTTTTTGTAACGCAGGTCTATCTTCTACTTTGCCAATGTGAAAACTGCCCAAAACCGCGTGACGAGGGGTCGGGGGTCGTGGCCGGAGGGGCCGGGCCGGGGGGAGCTCGCGGGACGGAGGGGGCACAGTTAACGCCACGTCGCAAAAACCAGACAGATTTCTGTCGCCTTTTTATTTTGTGGTTGGTTGTTTTGGTTTGGTTGTTTTTTTGGTTTTTTTTTTAGTTTTATTTTTTTATTTTTTACCTCTTTATGTATATGTAGGGAATTTATAGGAAAATATGTACTTTATTGAATAAATTTTAAAAACTAAAATATATTTTATTTTAAAAAGAAAATAACGGACCTTTAACCTTACATGGCTAAAGTACTGATTATATATTTGCTGAGCTGACTTGACGGTTATGAAAATTGTATCAAGAGTTTTATTTTTTGACTTCAAAGCCTTCTTAATAAAGACTTTTTACTATATATGAATACATCTGCTACCTGTGGTGTCTCGCTGTCTGCGGCCTCTCGGCGCCCATTCCGGCGTCCTCGGGACCGGCCCCCCTGCACTGGTTTTGGGTTGGGTGCCTGCTGGTCCGTACATCTGCCGGTCCGTACATCTGCCCGTGGTTTGCTTTTCGGTAGCGTTCACCCTCTGCTTGCCGTGTGCCGGGGGCACGGACCCTCCTGCAAACCCCACGGCCGAGCCGTGGCTTCCTGGGGCAGCCGGGGCGTGACGTGGGATGGGGTGGTGGGGAAAACGCGCCCCTCGAGCGCCCCGGGGCCTCGCTCCCTCCCCGGGTGCCGGCATCCGGCATCGGGTGATGGCAGCGCCGTTTGCCACCACGTCTTGCTGCGCCGGAGCGGCTGCTGCGGCTCGCCCCGGCCGTGCTGGGGCTTTCGAGGCGGCTGTCGGAAAGTGCCATCGATCCCTTCGGGGAGCGGTAACTACCGAAAGGCTGCCCGGGCGCCTACTTTCTCCCCGGCTGAAAGCTCGGCTATTAATGGAGCTCCGGTCTGTGTCTACAGGCTGCACATGGCGTGAACCCGCCTACGTGATTCGTTAATGAGCCGCATGCCGCTGACAGCCCTTGGGCAATTAGGGATTCATTATTTTTTCATCAGAAAAATTTTCGTCGCCCTGCTTACCATGTTGAGCTAATCTGCTGGAGTGTGCTGGGTTACCGGAGCTGGCACCCTCTGGGATGGCTTTGGCATCTCCGGAGCTGTGCCAGCGCCGGGGCGGCACGGCGGGGCTGCCGAGGCTCGGCAAAGCCGGCTGGGAAAAAAGCGGGTGCCAGCTCGGGGCAGGAGCAGGAACCGACGGGGACATCGGCCTCCTCCTGATGGGTGGATTTGTCCCTGTCCAGGCCGGGTGACCCTGCTGTGGGTCTGGCCCTCTCCTTGTCCTCATGGGTGCTCCTGCTCCCGGCAAGGCGGTGCTGCTCGCCGTCCCCCACCTCTCGCTCTGCTTGGGCATCCTTATGTCACCCTGTCCCCAGCTGCACCCACCAGCAGCCACCTCTGCATGGTAGCCAGTCGCCCAGGCTTCGCCCCAGCTCTGCGGAGCTGGCTGGGCCACCGCAGGCGCGCAGGGACAGCAGGGACCCGCAGGTAACAGCACCCTTGGGCAGTGGGGACCCATCGACAGTTGGGAGCCATGGGCAACAGGGATCTACAGAAAGTAGCACCCATGGAGAGTGGCACCTACAGACTGTAGGGACCCACAGAGAGTGGCACCCATGGACAGTGGCACCCACGGGCAATGAGGACCCACAGACAGTGGCACCCATGGGCAATGAGGACCCATGGACAGTGGCACCCATGGGCAGTAGGGACCCACAGACAGTGGCACCCATGGACAGTGGCACCCATGGGCAATGAGGACCCAAAGACAGTGGCACCCACAGAGAGTGGCACCCACGGGCAGCAGCACCCACTGACAGCTGTCACGGCTGCCGGCCCCCCGCCGGTGCCATGGCCGCGGGTTTTCATTGTTACCGGGGTCTCTCTGTAACGAGGGGAGCGGGGCCCTGTGCCGTGGGGCTGTGGTGGCACGTGGGTGCTTGGAGTGCTCTGGGTGGGGGACCTGGGGTGGCCCAGGGTGCCCTGGATGAGGGCAGTTTTGGGGTGTCCTAGATAGGAGGGGGTTTTGGGTGCCCTCAATGGGGTCTCGGGGTGTCCCAGGTAGGGGGGGAGCTTGGGGTGTCCCGGGGGGGGCCCAGAGAAGCCTTCTCAGGATGTTCCAAGTGGGATCTTGGGGTGCCCCTTATGGGGATTCTCGGGGTGTCCCGAATGGGGGGTCTCTCTGCCCTGCACAGGGGGCCCTTGGGGTGCCCGAGCTGGGAGGGATCTTGGGGTGCTGCAGTGGGGGGGGACACCACTCCCAGCACCCCCAGGAGCGCCTCTGGCCCGGGAGGGGCTGGGGGGGGGAGCGGGGGGCGGGGTGGGGCGGGGCCCCGTACCCCGCCTCCCCCTCCAATTAGCGGCAATTAGCGGCAATTAGCGGGGGGGGCCCGCCATGGCTGCGGGGGATCCCTACGTGCAGGTGAGGCGGCCCGGGGGAGCCTTGTCCGCGGGTTTGGGGGGCTTGTTGCAGACCTGGGGGGTCCTGTGCCTCCCCTGGGGGCTCAGCACCCTGGGTGGCTGCAGGTGCTGTGGCCTGGGTGTCCCCCTGGGTCACCGCCCCACTGGTGCCCGGCTTGGTGGCACCTGGTGGGGTGTTGGGTGCCTGGCGGTGCCTGGCCATGGGCTGCCCACCCTATGTGGGTGCTGCCGAGGCTGCTGCACCGCAGCTGGGCTGCTCGCGGGGCTCCCTGACACGCAGGGACCCGTGGGCCGGCAAGCGCAGCACCTCGCAGGGTGCTGGTCGCAGGTCAGAAGGGTTTGGTGCTGCCTGGGCACCCATCTGTCCTGCTTCTTGCCCAGCTGGCCTGGCTGCTTTCATCCCCTGGATCCTGGCCTGTATCCTCCATCCCTGTCGAGGATGCTTCTGCTGCGAGCGGGCAGCAGGACAGGCTCTTGCTTCCATTTTTGCTGCTGTGTGTCAAAAATGATCGCTACAGCTGTAGGGCAGACCCTAAACCTGGTCCTTTCTCCCCGGAGGTACCTGCGGGGCTGGAGGGTACCGGTATTTCTGCAGAGGTCAGAGGCACAGCATCCGTCCTCGTGGCGTGACTGAGGTGCCAACCTGGGCAAAGCAAGGAGGGTTTCTGTGCTTAAGGCTTCGTGGGTTGCCTTGTCCCAAATTGCCGGCCAGGCTGGGACCGAAGCAGCTGCAGGACTGACATCGCCAAGTGCCCCATGGAGCCCTGCCGCTACCTTCCGAATCTCGCAGCTTGTGCCCGCGCCAGCCTGGCGCACCCTCGGCGGTGGGCGCTGGGGAGCGGCCGAGGGCCCAGCTGGGTGCGCTAGCAGGGATGCTCTTCTGTCCAGCTGCGATTTCAGACTCAAATCCGTTAGTGCCTTGCCGGGAAGCCGTACATCGTGCAATTTTCACTCCCCCCAGCGGTTACTGCTCATAAAAGATAATGGCTTCCTGTCGCTGCGCCTCCGCTGAGCGGCCCCTGCAGCACCATCCCCTTCCTGCCCTCTTTATTTCGGCTGCAAAGTCAGGCCCTTCAGTCTCCGGATGACTCCTTGGATGTGAACCCAAAGTTCAGCCCCTTCCTTCCCCCTCTCCAGACTTCCAGTCTAGCCAGTGCTTGTTTGATCAACTTTAATGATGCATTAACACATGTGCTTTGCACACTGCGGACCTGGAAACATTTGCTGCAAGCCAAGTTCCCTGGATTTGCAAAAGGAGTGAAACCAGGATGGGTTTTCAGGCCCCGGTTTTTAGCAAGAGGCTGGCCCCAGCCCACTGGGGTGGAGGTGCGATGTGTTAGAGCCCTGTCGCTGCTCTGCAATTGCCCTCAGAGTTTGTGGAAGGAGATACGTGTTCCCCTCTCAGCCTGAGAGCAAAGCTGCAACCGTTAGATCCCCCCCTGCCCTTTTTTAAGCTTGCAAGATGGCCTCACCTTTGCCTGCTCGGAGCGGCAGGAGGCACCGGCCTCCTGGAAGCAGCCCCTGTTCCCCCCAGTCTGGCAGGAGCTGCTGAGCCAGTGTCTGACAGTTTGGCGCAGAGCGGGGCTGCGGGCACCCGGTGCCGGGAGCGGGGGCTGCGGTTCCCCAGCACAGGAGGTCACCCTGTGCCAGCTTGGGGCCAGGTATTCACGCTTTTGCCGGTTAATGGGGTGCCTGCAGCAGGGTTTTGAGGGGTTTTTTTGGCCTAGTTTTTACTTCTCTGCCCCCGTGGTGTTGCGTTGCTTCATTCCTGGGATCCCGCTCCCTGCGGGGTGGCTCCAAAGAGGCTTTTTCCAGGCGTGAGGGAGGTGGTAATGCTTGGGTCTGCGTGCAGAGGGAAGTCAGGGCTCACCGTGCTGCAGAACTCCCACTTCATCAGCACCCGCTGTCTGCGGAGGAGAAGCCGAGGCCGGCAGCAGCCCCCAGCAGGCAGGGAGCACTGGTCCCATTGGTGTCAACTGGTCCCTTGCACAAGGCTGCCTGCTGCAATGGGCCCTAGGGAGCTGCAAATTTTGGGGGTGAAAAGGGCATGGGGTGATGTTTCTTATCGCTGTCCCTGTGCTCTGGCCTGTAGCTGGGTGTGCAGAGCTGGTGACGGTGTCTGGATCCACTCAGTAGTTAGCAAGGGATCTGCGCTGCGCGTATCTGCTTTCAAGCCTGGTATCTCTGCCCAGCCAAGCCACGCGGCTGCATCCCCAGCACGCCGGGTGTTCAGAAACGCCCGTGCTTGGCATCTTCTGTGTTTCCAGAACCCTTCCCTGCAGCAGCAGGCGTGATCGCATCCTCGGGGCTGGGCAGAGAGAGCCCCCCATGCTGAGGGGGGGCAGGAGAGGTGCGGACCTTCCTGGGGTGGGCAGCAGAGCTGGGGAGAAGCGGGGCTCCAGCAAAGGCACCCTCCTGCACATCTGGAGAGCAGCTGGGTAGGACCCCTGCCTGCAGGAGCCAAGGGGCTGTGGGGCACCTAGCAGGGTGCTGGCTCCCATGGCTCGCCTCGCTACGGCGATGCTGAGCACCGGGCTGACTGTCCTAAGTGAGAACCGTGGGGAGGGCCGCGATGCTTGGTTTGGAGGCTGGTGGCCAGATGCTTTCCCTGTCTCTTGGCTGTGGCTCTCTGCAGGGGTCTCTTCCCTCCTCTGTCCCCGCAGGGTGCCCGGGTGTGGATCCCTGACTGTGTCGAAGTCTGGAGGATGGCAGAAATAACCAGAGGCTACAAGGAAGGAGACACCGTTCTCCATCTCCACCTGGAAGATGGCTCGGTAAGGCTGGAGCTGTGCAGCCCAGCAGGTCCCTTCTGTGATTGCCACAGGGTTGGGCACCCCCAGATGGGAAATATTTCACCTCTGCACCCCCAAACCAGCCTGGGATCCTCAGCAGGGTGCAGAGAGGCTCAAACGTTGCCTGGATGTGTCCTGTCTGGTGTCTGAGCAGGAGCCCAGACCACTGCGGCTGCGTCTGGCTCACCGTGCCCTGTGTCCCCTGACTGCCCGGTGAGCTGGTCCTCGCTGCCTGCTCCTGCCTGACTTCCCAAAAGGCCTCCAGCCCAGCTCGCCGTGCTGGCTGGGCTGTGATTCCTGGTGACTACCAGCCCAAGCATGGCCTCCGGACAGCATCCCTCCTGCTGTGCCAGTCCCCACAGACCCATCCTGCCTTTGCGGGCCGGCTGACCCTGCTCAGCACGTGTGCTGCTCCATCTCTATCCCTGCAGGCACTGGCCTACCCCATCGAGTTCCAGCTGCCGCCTCTCTGCAACCCCGATTGCCTCTCAGGCACCGATGACCTGGTGGCCCTGAGCTACCTGCACGAGCCGGCTGTGCTGCACTCGCTCCGCCGGCGCTTCCTGGAGGGAAACGCCATCTACACCTACTGTGGTGAGCCCCATGCAACCCCTCCTGCTCCCCATCCTGTGCCCCTTCCCCACGGCTCCCTGGCCAGGCGCCCCTCCTGCCCCTGCCCTCTGCACAGCCCTCTTCCTCCAGGTATCATCCTCGTCGCTATCAACCCCTACAAGCCGTTGCCTATCTATGAGGAGGAGGTAATTTATGCCTACAGTGGACGTGAAATTGGGGATATGGATCCCCACATCTTTGCTTTGGCGGAGGAAGCATACAAGCAGATGGTGAGGTGCGAGCATCACACGGGAGCGTCCCCAGGGCTGCAGTGGGGAAGGGCCGAAGCCCCCTCTGGACCGTGGCAGTCTGTGGAGAGTGGTCCTGTTGGGTCACAGGCTGTTCCCAACTCATGTTCCTCTTCAGCAGGTTTGGGAAGAACCAGTCCCTCATCATCAGTGGTGAGTCGGGTGCGGGGAAGACTGTGTCGGCCAAGTATGCCATGAGATACTTCACCACTGTCGGGGGCTGCCTAGGCGACTCCAGCATGGAGGGGAAGGTGCTGGCCTCCAGCCCCGTCATGGAGGTGGGTCCCCCTGCGTCCCCAGGGTCTGCATGGGGATAGCTGGGGTGTCCCTGCAGGCTCTCCCTGTGCTCCTCACGGCCTGTGTCCCTGCTGGGTGCCATGTCTGTCCCCGCCCTGTAAAACGGGTGGCAGGGACTGAACTTCTCCAGAGCACCTGGAGATCTGGGGCCAGCTAAAACCTTCTGCCCTCCTTCCCCACCAGGCCTTTGGGAATGCAAAGACGACCAGGAATGACAACAGTAGCCGCTTTGGGAAGTACATCGAGATCGGCTTCAGCCAAGCACATGTCACAGGGGCCACCATCAAGACCTACCTGCTGGAGAAGTCCCGTGTCACCTTCCAGGTGGGCTTCTGGGGTGGCATGGGGACAGGGCTGAGTGGGAGCCCCAGTCCTCAGAGGGAGGGTGCTCCTCCTGGGCATCCCCCAGGGAAGCAACCCCAGCGCTGCTGAGTAGAGCTGGGAGAGGAGAAGGTGTCCCGTGTCCCCAAATCTGGAGCTGCAGCAGTGCTGCAGGGGAGCAGGGTGGCCCAGGGTGACCTGGCTTATCAGTGACTTTTTTTCCTCATCCACAGGCGAAAGCGGAGAGGAACTACCACATCTTCTACCAGCTCTGTGCCTCGGCCACCCTGCCCGAGCTCCAGGGCCTGGGTCTCCGTGAGTGCCCCCACTTCCCCCTCACGAGCCCCATGGCACAGCTTGCTGCCAGCCTGTCCCACGCTGGGCAGTGCCAGGCCTTCCAGCCCTCCCCAGCTGGGTGCTGGAGGAGGCTCTGCTGCTGCTGGGCACCCCAAGGTGGGATAAGGGTGGTTGGGAGCCCCGTGGGGCAGGTTGGGCTGGTTCACAGCCTGATCTCGCCCACAGGTGGGGCAGAGTCCTTCCACTACACCTGCCAAGGCCAGTGCACCGCTGCCCAGAGCACCGATGATGCGGCCAACTTGGACAGCACGCGGCATGCCTTCTTGCTCCTGGGTACTGTCCTGGCTGGGCACGGGTGGGGAGGCGGTGGGCAGGGCTGGTCCCCAGGGCTGGTTGTCCCACCGCCCTCACCCTAATGCTGGTGTAGGAGTGCTGGTGCCACACATCCCAGTCCTGGGGAGCCCAGCTATCTACTGGCCATTCTCATCCCTCCGGTTTGTGCGATGCAGGGGGGCAGACCAGCACGGGGTGGGGGGAGCCTGGGGAGTCCCTCATGCCTGTGCCGTGCCCGCAGGTGTCCCCGAGGCCGACCAGCTGGAGCTCTTCAGCATCCTGGCTGCCATCCTGCACCTGGGCAACATTGTGGTCAGAGGGAGGGACCGCCGGGGGGACGGCTGCTTCGTGGAGGTGGGTGAGAGCTTGCTGCCTGCCCCCTGCGTCCCAAACTGGCCCCTGAGCCGCGCTGGCTGCAGGAGCCACATCTCACAATAACACAGTGACAGGGTCTGTCCCTTTGCAGCCTGCTGATGAGGCCCTAGGGCTGTTCTGCACACTGCTGGGCATCGAGGCATCGCAGGTGATGCGCTGGCTCTGCCACCGCAAGCTGGTCACTGCTGGCGAGACCTACCTGAAGCCCCTCTCCAGGCAGCAGGCGCTCGACTCCCGGGATGCCCTGGCCAAGCATATGTATGGGCAGGTCTTCAGGTGGATGGTGAGCAGGGTCAACCGTGCCCTGCGGTCAGTGGAGGGCCACCACACCTCCATTGGCATCCTGGATATTTATGGGTAAGAGCAGCTCCCCTCTCCTGGGTTGCCTGGAAGAGCATGGTCCTGCTCCTGCACCAGCTGTGGCTGCAGGTCTGCAGCCACCAACTGCTCCAGCTGGGACACGGGGCAGTGCCTGTCCCTGCAGCGGGGCCAGTTGGGTGCCTGTTGGTGGCTGGGGTGGCTCTGCCCAGCAGCTGCCTCATGCCTGTCTCTACTGCCTGCAGGTTTGAGATGTTTGAGCTCAACAGCTTTGAGCAGTTCTGCATCAACTATGCTAATGAGAAGCTGCAGCAGCTCTTCAACATGGTGGGTGTCACCCAGATGTGGCTCCTTGCTGGCAGCTAGTGAGGGTTGCCCATGCACATCCCTGCTGCGCTGTTGCTTTTGGTGCTCTGCTTTGAATGTGGCTGGCGCTTCAGTCCCTGCAAACGTGGGGCTCTGGGAGGCTGCTGGAGCTGGGCACAGTCCCCTCCCTTCTCCAAAAGTGCTCCTGCTCCAGGAGAAGGGCTGCTCAGGTGTTTTATGGAAACCAAGCCACTGCCTGGTGGCTGCCCACCTTTGTCCCCTCCTGGCTCAGTCCTCCTCTTCTTTTCTTGCCCTCCAGCATGTCTTCAAGCTGGAGCAGGAGGAGTATGTGACCGAGGAGATCCCTTGGGTCTTCATTGACTTCTGTGACAACCAGCCATGCATTGAGCTCATCGAGGGCCGGCTTGGCATCCTGGACCTGCTGAATGAGGAGTGCAAGGTGGGCAAGGAGTGCTGGGAGCAGGCTGCTGTGGCCACCCAGAGCCCCCCTCCTGCTCCTTCTGACCCATTTGCCTTTCAGATGCCCCAAGGCAGTGATGGGAGCTGGGCCCAGAAGCTTTACCAGACCCATCTCAGCAGCTCCCACTTCCAGAAGCCCAAGAGGCCCACGGATGCTTTTGTTGTCTGCCACTTTGCTGGCAAGGTAAGGAAAGCTGAGGCAGTACAGCCCTGGGCGGGGAGGGCTCGGCAGTGGCTCCACGCCAGCGGGCACCCAGCCTGCCCTGTCTAGAGCTGGTGGTGGCAGCTCCTGCAGCCTCCCAGGCTGGGAAGTGGATCCTGCTGGCGCTGCTGCTGCTACGTGCTGGGCTGCAACTCTGAGGGTAAAAATATGAAAACTCTGGCTGTGACGGTTCCCATCAGTAGCCTTGCAGCAGGGCAGGAGGTCCAGGCAGTGTGGCCCCCACCAGCTCTGACTCCTGCAAGGACTTCTTCCAAAAGCCCTGGACTGTGTCCAAGCAGAGCCCTGCACCAAACCGGTCTGGGAAGCTGCAGGCTAGTGCTGGTGCTTGCCTTGTCTCCTGCCAGGTGGAATACCAGTGTGATGGGTTTGTGGAGAAGAACAGGGACGCTGTCCCCGAGGAGCTGGTGGGGCTGCTGCGAGCCAGCAAGGTGAGAGCCACCCTGAGCAGGGGCTGTGCAGGGCAGAGCCTGGCCGGCTCGTGGCCCCGGGAGGCTGGGGCTGGGAAGGAGTGATGGTGTAGGAGGTATAAGCCATGCAGGGTAAATCCCTGTCTGCCTGCTGTCACAGCCCTGGGCAGTGCTGGCCATGGTCAGGGTGCCATGAGATGTGGGTGCTCCCCACCCCACTCCCCTGCCTTGGGCTTCCTCATCTTGGGGGGACACCTTGGCCATGTCCCTGGTGAGAGGGCTTGGAGGGTCCTGCTGCTTCCAGGTCTGTAACACTGTCACTTCTCCCTTCCACCCTGCATGGCCCTCACAGAAGGTAAGGGACATCTTGGAGGGCTCTCAGGAAGGTGCCTGTGGCTTGCGCTTAGTTTTTCCCAGGCTTAGTTTTTCCCAGCAGGCAGGGGCACAGTTGGGTCTTTTGGGGCTGCGTCTCCTGGCGGTGATGGCTCTCTGGGCATTGGGTGATGCTCGCTGGAAGGGCTGCCTGGTGCTCACAGCTCTGCTCCGTGCAGTCTGCCCTGCTCGCTGAGCTCTTCCTGGAGGAAGGGGATGGCCCCATGTCCCGCAGGTCCAGCGGGCCCAGGATGGCTGGTCGCACCAGCC